AATGGGTTAAATGGCTCCGAAAAAAAAAGAAAATGGCCTGGCAGTTTTTCCACATTCCCAGCCACTGGCCGTGCAGGAGCGGTGGAGGTAGAGCATGGGCCGAGTTCCCAGTTGTACTGGTGTCCTGGGCAGGAGTGGGGGGACCCGGCAAGGTTTCTGGGTGTGTGGGGGCATCTGTGGGTGCCCGATGTGGTGTGGGAGGGGTGTCACCTCCATCCCAAACCAGCTCTTCACCCACCCAGCTCCTCTCAGGAGCACGGACACGGGGTGGGGGCACCCGAGCAGAGCTGGACCAAATCTGCCTCCTTTAGACCCCCCTTTGGCAGCGTGCAAAGCTGGGGGTGGCAGAGGGGTCCCCAGGACACCCTGCATTGCCATCTGCCCAGGCTCCAGGGGTGACAATTCACAGGGAGGGAATAGCCCTGCCCTGGCTCAGAGGGCAGCTTCCCGGTTGCGCGTCTTGAGCTTCGAATTCCAACTCTCATCTCTCTTTTTTTTCTTTCTTTTCTTGCTGTTTCTTTGGTGAGCGATGAATGGACAGGGTCCGGTTTGTCTTCGGGGCTCGTTTGGCCTCATGACGTGTCGGTGCCGAGTTATTATCGTTTGGGCAGCGTCCAGGGGCTCTGTCACGCACCGCCCAGCCTGGGAATTTTTTTAATTTTTTTTGCTCAGCTCCTTTTCCGATGCTTTGCGAGTGAAACCGGCTCATTTTGGTACCGCCGAGGCTGGGAAATAAATGTCACGCACCGCCCAGCCTGGGAATTTTTTTAATTTTTTTTGCTCAGCTCCTTTTCCGATGCTTTACGAGTGAAACCGGCTCATTTTGGTGCCGCCGAGGCTGGGAAATAAACGGGGAGACCGAGGTGCCGGGGTGGTTTGGGCCAGGTCGGTGTGTCATGGGCAGGGCTGGGTTGGCATCGCCGTGCGTGGACCCATTTCCCAGCCCGAGACGGAGCCCGTTTCCTGGAATTTGTTTCTTGACATCTCTGGAGATGGGCCCGGTGCCATCGCAGCCTCCTCCTGCCCGGGGGGGGGACGGGCACGTTGCAAACCAAACCCTCGAAATAGCCACAGGTAGTTTGCAGAGGAGCCTCGGAGAGAAGGGGCAATTGTCTGCCTGTATGTGGGGTATAATTATTTTTTGGAGGAATTAACAGAAAACAGGAGAAAAACAGAAAGCCCTTGGGCTGATGGGATTATTTTTGTCCTTCCTTCCCTTCCCGGGGAGGAAGAGGAGGGGGAACAGGGACAGAAGAAGAGCTTTCCTTCTGGGAAGCCAACAGCTCTAAAGATGCTGGAGGCAAATCTGTCTCCAGGACATAAACCCCTTCCCTCGGGTTTGACTCCGCTCGCTCCCACCTCCCTTCTTCCCCTTCCCAGCAAGACATCTGCTGCGTGGGGCCACCACCACGTCCCCCCCTTTGTGTCCCCCATCCGTGTCCTGGCTCGACCACAGCTCTGTGGCTCTTTGCTTGGAGCCAGGCAGGGACGGGACACTCACACGCACTTTTTTTACTATTTTTTGTTTTTTTCCCTTTAATTCTTTCTGCCTGTTGCCAAGGACTTTGCCCCGAGGTGGAACAGGAGGCGGAAAGCTGTTGTGTGTGAGAAGCTCTTTCCTCTGCTCGCCCCAAATACCAGGGTCTGGCTGCCTGGGGGAGGGTGCTGCCGCCCCTCTCGGGGTCCTGAGCACCCATGGGTGCCCCGAAAAAGGGAGGCTGGGCAGGACTGGGTGCCACCATCACTCGGGTACCCATTACTGGGACCTTGTCCTGCCCTGGGAAGGGGATAGAAATAAAAGCAACCCCCTCCAAGGTCAAAATAAAAGGGTTTTTGCTTGTCTTAGCACTGATTGAAATGCCACTGGTGGCAGATTTGGATGGAGACATCCTCTAAGTGCAAAAGAGCCAAAAGAAAAAAAGCCCTCAAAGAAACAAAAATGTATTTTTTTTTTACCCCAGATAAAGACTTTTTTCACCAAAAAATTCATTTCTGTTTTCTTTCAAAGTTTCTCATCTGCTCATGAAAATGCTTGATTTTTTTTTTTCCTTCTCTTTGAACAACAACAACAGAACTAAAAAAAAAAAAAAAAAGAGGCAGATTTCTGGCTTTTTTCAAATGTTTCTGGTTTTGAGCAAAACAAAGCAGGCCCTTCGGGGCTGTGCCTCTTGCCACCCGGCGTCCCGCTCCCGCTCCAGCTCCTAATTGAATTTCCTTGGAAAGCGCCTGCTCGAGTGTTATTAGTTGCAGAAACCCCAGCTTTCCTCTGGGCCTTTTCTGTAGTTTTTCTGATTTTTTTTTTTTGCTCGGGCCGTGCCCAGTGCAGCCTCCCGTGGGACGGGCACCGGCAGCCCCCCTGGGGATGTGGGGTTTGGTGGGGGATGGAGCCACGTCGGTCCCTCCCGTGTCCCCCCCTCAATGGGCTTGGGTTGTACTGGTGGAAATGAGCTGTTGCGTAGCAGCAGGGATGGGGTAATTGGGGTCTTTTTTGCCTAAATCCCATTCTTTAGGCTCTGCTCACTTTCACCTGTTTCTGTTTGATCTTCAGCTGGGCTTCGGCAGCCTCCTTGGACTTGGTGCTTGATTTGGGGGGAGGTCCCCCCCTCGCTCCGGTGACATCCCTCTGTCTTTCCCCCGCCGCGTCCCCGCTCTGCGATGGGGTGGATCAAGCGGTGGCTTCAGGAATCGCTTTCACCCCAGTCCCATCCTCTTTTGGGGGGCTCCCCCTGGGTGCTCAGGAGGCTCCCGGTGCCGGTTCCTCTCCCCGGTGCGGGCGGCCGTGCCCGGGGCAGGGTGATGCTCGCCCGGTTTGGCCGCTTTGGGTGCCAGGGCTCGGGGCTGCCGGCACGGCGCCTTCCCCGGCAGCGGCTGCACCTTCCTGGGGCGAGGAACCGGGTCTCCTGGCTGGCTCCAGCAGCAATTTACTCACTCCACCCCAATGGCTTCATCGTTGGCCGGCCTCGCCGCCTTCCTTCAGCGAGCAGGCATGTCGCTGCCCCGCGAGCCCGTGCCCTGATCTTTGCAGAAGAGCTTGTTTTTGCCTCTTCCGAAGCTGCTGTGGGGTCTGTGCTTAGAGGAAATGCCAACCTCCCCCACCTGGAGTGCTGTGGCCAGCTCTGGAGTCCTCAAAGTAGGAAGGACATGGATCTGTTGGAACGGGGTCCAGCAGAGGCCACAAAGATGCTCAGAGGGCTGGAGCCCCTCTGCTGTGGGACAGGCTGAGAGACTTGGGGGGGGTTCAGCCTGGAGAAGAGAAGGCTCCAGGGAGACCTTAGAGCCCCTTCCAATATCTGAAGGGGCTCCAGGAGAGCTGGGGAGGGACTCTTTGTCAGGGGGTGCAGTGACAGGACAAGGGGTAAGGGTTTTAAATTGGAAGAGGGGAGATTTAGATTAGAGACCAGGAAGAAATTCTTTGGTGTGAGGGTGGTGAGGCACTGGAACAGATTGCCCAAAGAAGCTGTGGCTGCCCCATCCCTGGAGGGGTTCAAGGCCAGGTTGGAGGGGGCTTGGAGCAACCTGGGCTGGTGGAAGGTGTCTCTGCCCAGGGCAGGGGGTTGGGACTCCATGATCTTTAAGGTCCCTTCCAACACGAACCATTCTATGATGCTACGATTCATGCCTGCAGGAAGCTGAGCATCAGGACTGCAAAGTTTTGGGCTCCATCACCGTGGGATGTTGTGTTGGGCAAATCCCTTTTGTGTGCCTCAGTTTCCCCTTTGGGGCCGAGCAGCAACGAGGCTCCATTTCGCGACGGCTTAGAGCTGCAGCTGCGCTGATGTAAAATACATAGAGATGGGGTAATGTGTGATGGGCACTGGCTTAAAACCGTGGGCTGGGTAGATCTCAGGATGAAAGGTGCTGCATAAGTGCAAATTATTATTCTTGTTAATAATGATGTCCACCAGCTCACATTTATCTGCTCTTCAATTAACTTTTTTTAAGGACTCTTAGCAGGTTAGAAAGACACAAATTTTCCCTGGCAGAACCTGTGCTGGTTTGACCCCGTAAGGTTACGCAATTACTGTACCGGCATGGTCCTTAATTAGACTCTCCATAATTTTCCCCAGCACAGCCGTGTGGCTCCTTGCTCTGTAATTCCCAGAATCTCCTTGGATCTGATAGGCATCGCGTTAGCTGCTTTCCAGGCTTCAAGGATAATTGCTTGTCCTTAAGGACACCCGGGATGTGGCAGGATCTCCTCCTGCATCCTTCTTTCATGTCCTTCTGGCCAGCACAGGGGTTTGTCCTGCATTGGGGACCACCGAGCTGGCATGATGCTCCTCAAAGTCAATGAAAGTTGACTCAACGTCTTTGCCCCTTTGTTTTTCCCCGTCGTTTCTCTCCATTCCTTGGCCTCACAGCGCGTTTGGGATGTTAGATGTTGCTCTTCAGTTTAGGCAGAGCCCAGGCCTGATGCTGGGAGATGGGTTGGGGCAGAAACCTGGTCCTGCCGGGTCTGGTTTGTGTTCTGGGGCAAGTCGTGTTGTCCTGTGTCTCTGGTTTAAGCTTAGAGATTGCTTCTTTCCTTGTACCTGCAGTCCCAAATACTGACTTTATATATCTGTATGTTAAATATATTCTTGCTGTGCAAGGAATAGGAGATTGCTTCTTTCCTTGTACCTGCAGTCCCAAATACTGACTTTATATATCTATATGTTAAATATATTCTTACCGTGCAAGGAATTCACCATTTCCTCATGGTTCCTCACCATTGGTTCCTCACCATTGCTGCAGTGACAGAGGTGTTGCTTCTTGATGTGATTTTTATTTCTTGTTTTCCCTGAAACCCCTTCTTTGAGGGTCATCCCCCCAACCCAGTGTCCTTGTTCTCGGGTAGGAGCCGTTCTTCCCCAGGGGCTGATTTGTGCCTCCTTTGCAGCAGCCAGTTGGGTGAACGAGGACCTTTGAGCCATGGGATTTGTAGGGACACCTTGGCATGGGGTCTGCCCCAAACCTGGAGTCGGGGTTTTGTCGCCGGAGGAGCTTTTAGCCGAGGTCGAATGCCGAACGCGGACAGACTGGATGAAGGCTGGTCCTGGCCTGTCTGGCCAGCCCGAAATTCTTCTCTTCCTACCCACCCAATGGCTATAAATAACAAATAATAACAACTCCCAGGCTGGCGAGCTATTTGGGGTTTTGTGGGTTTTTTTGCTTTGTTTTGCTTTTTTGCATTTAGGAAGTAACTTTTCATAGAAACCAATATTTTTTTGACCGGATTCCTCATTGTCCCAGAACTGAACTGTTTATCCAAAACAATGCCCAGGTGAGCGGAGAGACACTGGGACAAGTGCTTTCCGGGAGGGAGACAAAGCCGTGCTGGATGCGTCCCGGGAGGGCTGAGGAGCTCTGGGCATTTCTCTTCCTTCCCCTCTCACCCTCCTTTCCCTTTCCCTGAACATCACAGAATCTGAAAATGCTTCAGTGCATTAATTTCAGACTGAATGTAAATAAGCCATTTGGATTTTTCCCAGTTGAGCAAACTTTCAAACCAGAATTTTGCTTTCCTCTCCTCCAGCCTGGCTCATGGGATTGGAAGGATTTGCTTCAGTGCTGTCTCTTCTGCACTTGAAACCACTTAATCAAGCTCTAAAATATCCCTTGACTGGGTCAGGCAGGCACCTGATTGGGCCAGGCAGCACGTACGGGAAAACCAAGAGAGATTAGACGCTCATTTTATCTGCATAAAACAGATTAGAAAGCTCCCAAACTAAATATTGCTGCAAGGTAGCGTGTTGTTCATGGCACACGCCTTGCTAGACTGTCTCTGTTTGTGTCTCCATCCAACATTGTCTCGTCCCTGACCAGCCGTTCCAGAGGGATTAAAGGGAGAGAGAAAGAGGGACAAGGAGATTCCTGAGCACCTCCACCTTGGCAGGTGGCGACCCACGGCATTGGATTTGGATGCTCTTCAGGTCCAGATTAGCTCAGATGTGGATCCAGGCGTGTCAAGACCCTTTTCCTTCCCTTTTGCAATGGGTTGGCACCCCCTAACCCAAAGGTGCTGCCTGCTGACAAGGTGGGATTTGCTCCTGAGCTCCCTGGTCCAAGCCCCTCTTTAGCTGCTGGGTGTTGGAGATGTTTTTCCCTCCCGGGCTGCCCCTTGGCTGCTCTGATGGGCACACGCCATAGCAGTGAGGTGGCCATCCATCTCCTGCCACCAGATTCCTTCCTCTTCAGCAATGGGATAGAAGAGGGGCAGATAAATCAGAACAGTGAGACAGATCATCCATTGCGTGAAGCTACAGCTGAGGAAAGCTGAGCAGGAGGCACAGGACAACCTGGGTGGGTTTGACCCCAAAGCCTGGCTCCAGCTTTAGCATCTTCCCACATCCTCCAGGGCTTCCCAGCTGGGGGTCTGGGCACCACAACGGGCTGCAGAGAAGGAAACCCACAGGTCCCTGTGAGCCGTGAGGTGCTGTGGCTGAGCTGCCTGTGGTGTGGCTCGTGTTTGTGCTGCTGGAGAAGCCCTGCCCCGTCCCAGCTCGACGTGCCCGAGCTGTGAACACGCTGCTCTTCCCTTTTGTTTGTCCAGCTTTTCGGGGATGGGTCAGCTCAGTCCTGCAAACTCATCAGGAACTGAGTGTGCCTCCCAACCGAAGTGCAAATACTTTTTCCCCTAATCAGGACAACAGCTGGTGGTTGCCCCAGAAGCTTTGGTGATGCAAAGTGGGTCTTTCCCATGGCTGGAGAGACATTTTGTACCTTTGACTTGGCAGGAGTATTACAAAATACATGGTTAAAGCCCGTGAAACCTTACAGCTTCTTTATATCTTTCCTCTCCTCCCTGTTTTTTTCTCAAATCTTGCTGTGCTTGGTGGACTTTGGAGCTCAGTGATGTCTTGGGGCTTTTACGAGTTGATTTGGACTTTGTAAATGAAGAGAACAGTCAGAAAACTTGACCTGTGTGCATCTCCTGGGCTTGGCAACCAGGAGGCAAAGAAAGTAGCCCCGTGCCTATCGGCTTTCTAATCTGTCGTACCTTACGGCAGCGCTGTGATTTATTGAAGCCTGCCTTATTATTTTTAAATGCGTTATTATCTCTGTTCTCATACACGAAACACGTGAGCCGCTCTCCCCATGCCACGTTATCTTCGTTTCTCCCTTATATTTGACAAAAGGTGGTGCAGAATGGGGGAGCAGAGACCTGGAATATCATCCCAGGGTGTTTCTCTGCCGTGTGATGAGCATTTGCCCTGGCCAGGAAGGGGCTGGGGGTGCAGCTGCTGTGGGGGTGCAGGCAGGGAAGGGGATGGATGTCCCATCCACAGGGCTCACTCTCCTTAGGGCTTCGTCTGTGTTTTGCCTGGGCTTGTGGTAGCTTTTAAACCCGGCAGATTTAGGTCAAGCCTGGTCTTGTTCTGGCAGCAGCGGGGTGATGGCAAGGGAGGGAAGGAGCTGGTCCCTGCCCTGGTGGCAGCGGGGACAGGGGAAGTGGCCAGACCCAGCAGGGAGCTGTGGGGCAGGAGCCTTGTTTGGGGCAGGGTTTGTGCTGAGCCCACGCGTATCCGGCTGCCCCCAGGGCCAGGCTGTGACCGTGATGGCACACACAGCCCTTCTCCATCTCGCTCTGGGGACACACTGTGCACTTGGGGGTCAGCACCATCCGTACACTCCCCATGGACGTGCAGCACCGGGGCAGCGAGGCTCTGTAGGGCAAGGAAGAACCAATTTACCCAAGTTTCTCGCCTGCCTATTTTTGTCTCTCTTCTGGCCAGCTCGTTCCAGTGGGAGTTAATTTAATTGCCATCTTCCTCTCTGCATCGCTTGTGGTTGTGTGTGAGACCTCTTGTTGTGCAGGGTAATTAGATGGGTGAAGTGGGCATGGGGAGCAAGAACCGTGTCTCGACAGTCAGCGGAGCCACCCGCTCGCCGTCCCCACGGCCCCAGTGCTGTTGGTTTCTCACAGAGCTCGGGGTCTGAACAGACCCTCCTTGTCCTCAGCCCCTGGGGAATGGGCAGGAGATGTGACGGGGGCAGCCCTGGCAGAGGCAGGGATTGGGGGGAGCTCTCCCCAGGCACAGAAGGAGCTGCAGTCCCCTCTCCTGTTGCAGCACTTCATTTTCCAGCTCTTTTTCCTGGTATAAATCACTCGCTGCCGAAGGGAGCGGTGTCCACAGGGGTGAGAGCAGAGCGGGGGATCTGGCCACCATGGAGCTGCTCTGGGCAACCCCAAAGTCTTGGCTGTTGATTTTGAAGGCCTGAGCACACTCTGGAATCTCACAGCAGAACCCAGAGCATCTCGCCTGTGGCTCAAGCCCCTTCTTGGGGACCACCCAGGAGCTGCATGGTCCGTGCTCTGCTCCGGCCACCTCTGACTCAGGGCTTCGTCCAGATCTCCCCAGCCATCAGGGTGTTCATGTCTGGCTTTAACAGGCTTTAGATGACTAAATGCCTCAGGTCTGACTCAGGCCTGTCCAGGTTGGGACATGACGAGGATGTGGATGCAGCAACATGTGGTTATTATTCACCCATACACCACACCTATGCACAATCACCTGTAGGTAGATGACAGCCTGTCCTCTTCTCCTCTCTCTTTTGCCCTGGGCTTTCACAGAGGCATGGGAATGAGTTTTCTCCTTTCTGGGGCTCACATACTTGGGATTTGAAGCCAGCGTTGCTGTGCACAATTCAGTTGGAACTGCTGAATTGCCTTTGGTTGAGGCCCAAAATCACCCTGCCAGCAGGAGCATCCTGCAGGGGAGCAGAGAACTATGAGCAGGGCTTCGCATCGGGATGAGCTTTCCTTCCCAACAAACCCCTTGCTGCAGGAGCTCCGGTACCCCGGGCTGGATCAGCATCCTCAGGAGGGTGGAGAGGATGGTCCTGTGGGGAAACTGAGGCAGGGGGATGAGCACGTGGGGAGCAGCGGAGCTGGGAGCTGAGCCAGCATCACCCCGGGCTGGTTGCAGTGTGCAGTGTGTCCATGCTCCCATGCTCTTGCCAACCCTGGAGTGTGGATGTGATCCCCCCACCTCCCTTGTAGGGCCTCTTGTTATAGTCCCTATAATTATATGTGTGAGGTCTGCCCGCCTTCCTCCCCGGCTCCTGCTTGTAGGACTTCTTGTTATATTGAGTATAATGAAGTGTCCGAGGTCTCTCTCCCCCCCACCCGCCCTTGCCTGCCTGCGTGTAGGACCTCTTGTTATAGCCAGGGAAATTATGGGTCTTTGGTCTCCCTCCCTTCGCCCAAGCTATAATTTAGTTTTATATAAAGTGCGGTCCAGCCCCTGTTGTGCAAGCGGCTGCTATTCCGGGTGCTGGGGAGGGGGCTGGAGCGGTGAGGAGGGGACTGGCAGTGGGTGGGGGAGGGTAACATCGCACTGAGCACCCCACAGCCCCCCACGGGCACCCCCATGTTGGGGGGCAGCCGTCCCCCAGCCCGCAGTGCTGGCTCTGCAGGAGGTGGTTGTGCCTTCTCCTCGCTGGTTTCTGCTCAGGGGTGTGTGATGTTGGGGTTTAACCCCAATGGGGAATAACACAGCCCTAATTTTGAGTTTTCCTTGCCCCACCGAGGGGGTCCCGCAGGGGCTGCTCCTGTCCCCGAGCAAGCAGGAACCCGAGGGGAGGTGGCAGCCAGCTCCGGCAGGGAAGACAGTGGCCCTTTCATGGGAAGGGGGGGATGAAAAATCCAGCTTGAACCGCTGAGTGTAACCAGATCCCCGGGCTTTTTAGAGAAGGAATGTGGGACCTCGGGAAGGTTTTTTGGGAGGGTGCTGCCGAACTGCTGGCTTCGCAGCGGGGTGAGCGGCTGCGGTGTGATGCAGCCCCAGTGCCCACCCCCAGCAGCCCAAAAATCCCTCCAGCTCTTCCCCAACTGTGTACTCTGGCCTGCAGAAGTCACAGGGTGGGGGCTGGATCTGGCTCTTGCCCCAAATCAGAGTCCCAAAGCGCTGCCCGGTGCCGTTCACAGCAGCTGGGGATGTTGTGGGGGCTGCTGGGGGTTTGGGTGAAGGGGGGGCTCTGCCCACAGCTCGGAGCACCCCGGGGTGCTCAGCTCCTGCCCCATTTCTCTTGCAGAGGCGGGTGAGACCTCGTGCCCTTCGCCGAGGCAGACACCAGCGGCCCCCCCGGCAGAGCCCCGGCCGGCCCCTCGCCCCGCGGCACCGAAGAAGGAGAAACCCCTGGAAGATGATGAGTCCCAAAAAGTCGTGACGAAGAGCCCTCGTCCTGAGCTCACAGGTGCTCCCGAAGCTGTGACATGTGAGTTTTTTTCCCTCTCATGGCATCACATCCAGCTCTGGACACCCCCGGGTGCCCGTGCTTTGGGCTGCTGCCATCTCATCAGTAACAGGGCTCATTAGAAAGGCGGGTGGCCATGGTGGGAAGCTGTCTCCTCATCTCTCTGCCCTTCCTGACATCAAAGCAAAAGGCTTTAACTGAGTGTGAGTCATGGGGAGCTGGGGAAAGTGAAGGGTGGCATCCAAGCATCGCGGTGATGCCCCTCGCTGCCCTCGTCCTTGGGAATGGCTGAGGCAGAGGGGAAGGAGGGTCAGCATCTGGAGAAGCTCTTGGTTGTGTTGGGGTCCTGCTGGGATGCTGTGGTGGGAAGAGGGACCAGCCCTGGGGGAAGGAGCCGGCTACTGGGATGGAGCATCCCCCAAAGCCACAGGGGGAGAGAGGAGACCCCCCCGGCAGAAGGGGCTCCGTGGTGACGGGGAGTGAAGCAGCGTTTGGTGGAGCAAAGGGAGATGCCTCCCGCTGGGACGGCTCTTGCCTTGGCGTATCCAGGACAAGGGTGAGGCTGGTGCAGAGCCCGAAGGAGCAGGGGCCGGGATGGGATGGGATGGGCTGTCTGCTCTCACCAGCTGGTTTTGCCGGAGGCAGCGGCGAAGCCAAGCAGCACCTCCCCGTTCCTGCTGCTGCAGACCTGCCAGTGTGTGTGTGTGTGTGTGTCCCCCTCCGTGAGAAATACCGGGGTGGGGAAGGAGCAGAGGTGGGGGGGTCGGGGTGCCCTTGCTCCATTTTCCCATTGCAGGGGTGGGAGGGATGAGCTGGCAGACGTGGGAGACCGGGGGGGCCAGGCTCTCCTGGAATCACGCCCTCCATCCTTTCCCTGGCCCCCAGCCTGGATCCCAGGGTTTTGCTCCCGGGCTGCCCCTGAGCAGGCAGCCATCCCCCTTTCTCTTGGATGCGAGCGCGCGGTTCTCCCTTCCAAGGGGTGTAAAGTGGATGGATGCTTCCCAACGGGGGGAGGGAGGGTGGGAACGAGGCTGCAAACTCCAAAGAGCGGGCAGGGGAGGGGTA